TCGTGACGACTACTCCACTGTGCCTCGGAGTCTCCAGCGGAGATCCGGCAGTTTTTAATTATTATGATTATTGTCGCTTGAAGGGTACTCTTTCTATGCTGCTTCGTTCCTGACGCCATAAAAATATGGCGCGGGATTACTTTGCACCACGTATAAAAAAAAAATCCATAAAGACGACTTATGCGCCAACCGCTCGTCAAGTGCTCGTTACGTCAGTTATAGGTTCTGGTAGCGGTCTAAACGTTCCTTTTCAGGGCCCCCATATTTTGCAAACGGAGCTGTGTTTTGAATGCGGCACCCCGTGTCTCTGTAAAAAGTTCACAGTAAAGACCCAGCAAAGGTATATGGTCCCCAACTTGGATATCGCGTGTGATGATTCAAATAAAAATTGTTCTTGCTTATTTCGCGCCTTTGATCCCAATAAATGCCGCCGATGCAGTCGTCCCGCGGTGCTGCTGCTCGCCCATTCGCCGTCGGCGTGCCTCAGCTTCGTCGTCTTTGCTAGCGGCGCACCGGCGAAGGCGGCCTTTGATCCAAATAAATACCGCCGTTGCAGTCGTCCCGCGATGTTGTTGCTTGCTCGATCGCCGTCGGCGTGCCTCAGCTTCGTCGTCTTTGCTAGCGGCGCACCGGCGGAGGCGGTTGATCTGACACACCGCGTTCGGCTTTGGCTAGCAGACGGCGTTCGTAAAATGGCGTCAGCTGTTGCTAGCTTCACGCGGCGGTACCGTGCGTGCTTCTATTCATTCGGCGTTCGTTGCCATGGTGACGGCGAGGAAAGCAGACGAACTTTTTGATGCGGAAGAACGCTGCGGCGTAGCGATACCAGGTGCGTTCGAAGGCCCTTCCCGCATGCTTTTCAATGGGCGGAAGGCGAACAAAAAGAGTTCGAAATAAGGACTTAACGCAGAAGGCTGCATTTCTCCAGCGCCTCATAATTTGACGAGCCTTGCACGAAAAGCATGTTTTTAGACCGGAGTTTGGAGATAGTTTTTTTTTACAACAACATGGGTCTAAAGTATCAATGTGCCGGCTTCGCAACCACAGTCGCACTAGCCGACGTTTCCTCTTTGTTCCACCGGCTGTTCTGTCAAACAAATAGATGGTCACTTCCTCCTCGTCAATCACTTCCAACCTCAGCTCTCGCGAGAACTGCTCGGTGACGAATGAGCGTTGGCTGCCTCCATCAAACAGACAGCGAGCAAGACACTTCCGGTCTCTTCCGTCTACCCATACTAGAGCCGGTTGTAACATTACGTCGTTCTTGTTGATGGCATTCAAAGACGCCACGGAGTGGAGCTCGGTAGCGCCGGTCGCTCCTTGATGAGACGGAGGTGACGTGCCACAAAGTGGAGTGATGTGGCATCGGCCACATTTGGCACAATGAAGGAATCGATTTCGACATTTTTTTGAGATGTGTCCTCGCTTCGCGCATCTTTTACACCTCCGTTCGCTCCTTAGCCGTCTCTTTTATTTTTACGATCGGAATCGCAGATTTACATTGCGGCGCTTCATGTAATTCGGATGAACAAATAGGGCACCCGTCTCTTGAGGGCTTGGCACCAACTGCGAGGGAAGAGGCAGACCCCTTTCCTCGGAGGTTGTCGCTTGATCTATTTCAGTCGCTGTGCATTTACAGAGGTTGCGGCTGGTCCCGTGTACTCCCGTCGTATACCTCCTCTCTGTTGTCCAGCTCTACGCGCATCGATTGCAGGACATCATCAAGATTTGAGCTTTCCGGTGCTTTATTGCTAGTACTCTGACTCATGTAGACGTCCACGGCCCAGTCAGCAGGCAAGACGCGGAAAAACGCAGCACACAGCCTCGCCCCGTAGCTGTCAGAGTGGATGTCCAAAGTCCTCAGTGAAGCGATGTTGCGATGAACGTGATCGTGTAGACGACGGAGGGCTCCGACGTCACTTAGCGCCTTCACTTTTGGCAGGTTCAGCAGCTGCCTGAGGTGTGCTTGAACAGCGACGTCCTTCTTACCGAATCTCTCCTTCAGAAGCTCCACGACACAGGCGTAGCTGTTCTCCGTTGCTTGAATGCCGCCTTGCCCGTCAGCAACGTCCGCAGGAATAAAAACTTCTCCACACCGGACAGCTCCCTGGAGGGAAGCCAAGTCAACTTCTCACCGTCAAACCGTTGGAGTTCGAGCTTTGGTAGTTTAAGCTGTCCAGCTCGGCTCTGGGTTTGAGTGGTCGATCGTTCTGCGGTCTCGGCGATCCTGCTCTCGATAGATGACGATGTCCTTGTCTCTAGGCATCCAAGACGTGCCCGCATTCGTATGAGTACACTTTGTGTCTCCCTGACGACCCTGTATTCTTCGGCGAGGTTCTCGTTCGTTACGTGGACCTCGATGAGCGCATCTTGCTTCTTGAGTTCCCTTGCCAGGGCATCCAGCTCGTCCGTTATTTCTGCGACGCGTTCCTGTGATGGGACCTAAAGTTCCAATTGCCACCGCATCTTGAATCTTTTCGCTTAGATGTTTGATTTCGGCTTGCGTCACCAACCTTTTCGCCTGGAGCCGCCCTGTGTTCGTTGATCGCTGATTTCTTATGGTCGCGGGATTCCCGGGTTTTGGCACCAAAATGTTCGATAATTTAAATTACTCTGGTTTGCAAACAAGATATTGCCGCGCGCGCAGCTAGCCAAGTAGGCAGCGCGCGCGTGGCCTAACGGTTATCGCGCTTTCCTTCCACGCAGAAGGCCAGGGTTCGATTCCTGGCCGCGGCTACGCATTTTTGTTGACACTGTAATGTGAAGTTCTGGTGAATTCGAGAACCGTCTTGGCTGATTCAAGGTTAGAATGTTCTACGCGCCGAACCTTCTACGCCGAACGACCCGGAAACCCACGAGCGTACATAGGTGATTCCGCAAGGAGACCGTAGTCAGTTTTCGCCCCAGCGTTCGACTCTGCTGCAACGCCGACTTCGACGCCCGCGACGCTCTGTTATTATCTTTTGTTCCCTTTTATATTTGGCACAAGTTCGCCACATTAAACGTTTCTTTCATCCTGTTTATTTCTTGTTTTTTTGGTCACCACCCGTGACAATGTATTTACAGTTGAGACAGGGGGGGGGGGGGGGGGGGGGCGGCGGCTCTTGAAGGTTGATGTCGTATCGACCAACGGTTCCAACTCGAGATGGTAGCCTTTTTTCTTCTTCTCATCTTAGCCGATGCTCCTTGGTCTCTTTTCTTGCGAGGTGTGTAGTCGGGCGCGTATCCACATTTAGAGGGAAATGTCCTCAATATTTGATATTACTAGACCACTCATTGGAAAACTCGTCCTTGAAACCCGGACCGTTCGCGTCCACCGAGATCGAACTAAATACCATTACAGCGCCGCCCTTTTGCGGCAAGTCAAAACTTGAAAGTTGCTTTGCCTTGCAGTTCCCGGAGTGGCCGTTGCGAGAGAAATGGCGGCGTTGTGATCGCGCCTATACTCTGTTTCACCTTATGTTGTACCACAGAGAAGACTAGAAGCGCGAGCTCGTAGCGTTGGGAGCTGCTCTTAACGCATGAGAGCTTGTGCCGCCGAGATGTGCCCTAGAGCAAGGAGCTCGCGCTTGTAGCCTTTCCTGTGGTACATCATAAGGTGAAACAGAGTATAGTTCGATTCTTGAGTACGGATCGGAGCCACTTTTTCAAAGCGGGCTCCTGTGGCAGTTTCCCAACTGAGCTGTTCTAGCAACGTTACTTGGTGCACCTCTCAGCTGGGGTTGTTAGGCTTGTGTACAGTGTAATACCGGACAAGTTAGTTGAGCTCAATGACAGTTGGGAGATGCCAACGATCTTCGGCTTAATGACAGATGAGAGCGCTAGTGCAACTAGGGTACGTTGACTGGTTGATTCCTTGAACCATAGTTAACTTCGAAGAATTTGGGTCATTTTTGCACGAAAGTATTAAGTTGTCTTAAGGCTCGTTCTTACTGCTTACGACCAAATGCGTTACGACCTCTTGTGATCTCTTATAATAAGAATACGCACTGGAGGAATCTATCAGGTAGTCGTGGAACACTTGATGTTTGCATTATCCTTTTTTTACGAAGGATTCTTTCACTATCCTCTTGAAAAACATTTGACAATGTTACAAACAATCATTTATCAAAAAAAGTACGTACATTTGACTTAAAAAAATGTTGCAAACCTTCGCTATAGTGAAATGCAACTCCGGGGAAACCTCATATAGATGGCGCCAGCATGCCAGTGTGTTCTCAAGAGGTTTCATGCACTCGGTCGTAAGCAGACACCAGTGTGTAAACTAGCTTTTAGAAGTTAGTTGATCGCCTTAGTTTTTTTTTTTTTATTTTAGTCAAATTAGACAATACATTTTGTCTGGAGTAACAATGCAAAAGACTAGAAGGTCTGACGAGACCTCAGTACCGCTACATAAATAAAATATTAAAAAGACAATAAAACTCGTCGACAGCAGAGCACGCTAAAACAAGAAGCGCTCTTAAATAAAATATAATAAATAACAAAATATGCATATCAACGACATTTATATAGTACACATATTTGATACTAAAAACTATACTATAATACTATAAAACAAGGACGCATAAAAAAAGCAGGGAGGGCAAATAGGATAAAACCAGATATTTCAGACCAGTTTCGAACATTTATTGGCAACAGAGTTTCGTTCACTATGATTGTGTATGTGTTTAGTGATATACACTTGATGTAATACGTGTATGAAGATGTGTATGTGTGTGTTTTAAGGAAGTTTGGAATTTGAAAAGAGAGTATTTGTCTACTTATGTCTGTCCTGATTTCGGGGAGTATATTCTTGTCATTTCGAGTCTTGTAATGGTGGTCGGATCTAGTGCATGCAGATGGATGGCTAGGTTGTTGAAGTCTATGGTCATGGAATGTGTAGCCGAAGGTCAAGTAGACAGGAGTTCTACCGAACGTCAAGTAGACAGCAGTTTTACCGAACGTCAAGTAGACCGGAGGATCACTGATCATTCTGCGAAATGTTTGTCCTTTTCCTCCAGAACGTTAAGCAGGGATCCGAAACGACCGTTTACCTGGCTGTTTCCGAAGACGTAGAGACCATCAGCGGTAAGTATTTTTCGGACTGCAAGAAGTCTTTCGCCGTCCCTTGGGCCACCGACCGGATCAAGGCAAAACAACTCTGGGAAGAATCGCTGAAGATGACCAAGGTCAAAGAAGCGGTGTGATGGAGACAGCTGCGTGCGCCGTCTACCTTCGATCGGCTCTTCCGTTGTGCCTTTGGACTGTCAACCGCTCTTGTATAACCCCCCATATTTGATCTCATGGCATCCAAAGTTCCGCCTGACGGGAAGTTGATCATCCCGTGGGTGGGACAAGAGTTTGTTCGTGTTATGCGAGCTCAGTAGCTAATAATTCTGGTGGACAACTCTAGTGTGAACGGGTTAGTGGTTTTTATAGGTTTGCTTTCTCAGTGGAATATCTTTTTATTTTTTTTTTACGCATACTACGTTTTTTACAGCGCGTGAAGGGGGTGCAAAGTTTGTAGGTCGCTGTCAAAAAAAAAAACGTTGCCGCGGAGATGACGTGACACGGATAACACCTGACGGCGCGCCACCTGCTGCCGAGAACAGCGCAGTGCGCACGCGCGTCCCTTCTTATCTGCTGGCCTGCTCGTTAGCTCGCCTTCAACGCGACGCGCTCCTGTCTGATTGAAACGGCGATAGACGCCGCTCCTGCAGCCGTGATTCCGCAATCTTCGCTCATCGACTGCGGAGTAGACAGCGGCCGAGCGGCAGAGCTCGCGTGCTCTGGGGCACGGGCAGTTCACGCGAGTCTCTCGCTGGACTCGGCGAAGTATTAACCCCCCTCTCATTTCTTGTGCCACTACTTTAGTTCAACCCACACGTAGTTCTATGGAAATATGTGCAGCATAGTACACCTATGCACCGTCGAATCTTTTTTTTTTTTTCTTTGTTTGTGGTAACGAGACGCACTGCCTGAAATAAAATGACTTTTTCCACTTACATCGTATGCCCATCATCGAAAGAGTTGCCGATTCGGTTTAGACCGAGATGTTTGTGACAGCTCTTTATGTATTGCTTTAACTTGAGAACGTAAAAATGACTGTACTACTATTAGATGGATTCCTTGCTTGCTTCTGACGGCCAAAAATCTGGCCCCTGGAGCGATTATGCGGCGAAGGGGAGACGAACTTCGCCCGGTGGCACGTTCGCTTGACACGCGGAGCAATTAACAACCACAGTTCTTTCGCCACGCGCAGAGCAAACGCTGCCGTGAAATAATCCTTCGGTTTATCTCAGAAGCACTTATATAGGCGTTTTGGAGGCAAGCATGACGAGTCTGACATGTGGGTAGTTGAATGTTTATGCCCCTGGTGAACAGAACAGACGGGGCAACTGACTACAAACAGGGGTAAAAGTAGGATGCCTCAATCGCAGAGGCACGTGAGCTTGAAGGTCGGAAGCTTGTGGAGGCGACATGATGCCACCAGGGCCCGTTTGATCGAAGTGCTAACCGCGGCTAAAGTTAGCCGCAGTACCTAGGAGAGGGATTTTTAAATCACGTGACCGGTGTTGGTAGGGATGCGGGGAAACATGGGGGCGGTGCCCCGGTGAGTGAGCGCCGCTCGCTTTGGAACTAATGTGTCGTTGTATCGGCAATATCGGGCGCGTTAGTCAGCAACGAATGTCGCAGGAGGCTTTCGCTTTGCCTTACCTCACTTAATTTGCAAAGCATGAGCAATGCTCTCGCCTGATTTTTTTAAATTGTCTTTCGATTATGGCCATTCCTAAGCCTAAATGAACGCGACAATTGTCGGCATGGCAACGTCTTTAGAAAGCGATTGACTTGACTCAATCGGCCGGTATTGATAGAAAAGAAAAGCAGTCAGCGTTTCAATAGTCATTTTTTTCGAAATTACCCGAGCCTTGAGGAGAACGTTGGAAGTGTAATTCTACAGTCCGCGCGAGCTGGCCTTTCTTTTATAAAAGATTCGAAGTAAATAATCATAATAAGGTTTTGACGAACGCGCGTGTAAGGCAAAATTATTTTTAGACTCTTTGCTTTAGAACAGTTACTACTGCAGACGCCAGCACGTGCAACGCGTGTAACTACACTCGTAGCATGCACCTCGGTGCTTGGGAAATTTAGAAAAAGGTCTATTGGGACGCTGTTTGCTTTTGTGTGCTATCAATACCCGGCTAATTGAGTCAAGGCAATTCACTTTCCAAAGACGTCGCCATGCCGACAATAATTATCGCCTTCATTTTGGCTTAGGAATGGCCAGAATCGAAAGACTATCTAAGAAATGCGACAAGCTCAATTCTCATGATTTGCGATTTAAGTGAAATAAGGCAAAGCGAAAGCCTCCTGCACCATTCGTTGCTGACTAACGCGCCCTACATTGCAGCAGCAACGACGTATAAGTTCCAAACCGAGCGGCGCTCACTCACCGGGGCATCGCCATATTTCCCCGCATCCATACCGAGCCCCAGTCACGTGATTTCAAAATCCCTCTTTTAGGTACTGCGGCTAACTTTGGCCGCGGTCAGCGCTTCGAGCAAACGAGCCCAGAGGTGAAGTTGTTGGAGACTTCCGGCCTGGAGGGGCACGCCCCCAACGATGACCAAAGCCGAAAGACGCCATCGGCTTCACTGGGGATTTTTTCGTTTGGCTGGCTCGAGTCGGTATGTCGCCTCCTCTTAAGAACCCTACGCACAGTTGCGTTTGAGGGCGTTTGAGTGCGTTTGACTGCGCTACGACTGCGAGAAACCGGGTCATCCCTGCTTCAAATGTCGCGTGCCAAGTGTGACATCCCCGTGGGAACGGGGAGAAAGCCACGGTGTGCTGCGCCTAAGCACACCCGATAGGATTCGTTTTCAAGGAGAGACAGCACCCCGCCGCCTCGATTGCACAACAATTTATATGCGGCAAAGGAAACAGCCATCTGGTGACGCCGAGGGGGCACAGGCGGACACCCGCAAGAATAATAGTAACGCGACAGGCTCCAAGAGCATTGACACACGAACACCTGTCAGAATAATAGAGCAACTAACTTCTAAGTCTGCATGCACAGCAGGTTCAGTCTTCAGAGCTTCTATAACGGCACAACACAACACTCTCAAAGTTCCGACGCGCATCCAGGGAGCCAAATATAAACAGTAACCCTCCTGCTGCGAGGTCACTTCAATATAACGCTGAAATGTTCCGAGTGGCTGCAGACAAATTAACGGACTCTTGCCATCTGTGGCATGGTTACCACAGAGATTCAACAAGTTATGTTTTGTTTTATTGCTACAAGTGCTGAGTAGTGCGGTTATAATTACTTCATTTGGCCTCCCACCCCGTTGGAGCACGAAGGATGGAAAACAAACGGTTTACGGGTGCAAGGCAAGGAAACTTCTTTGTTTCTTTTCTGGTGCTTGCTGCTTTGCAAATAGGCGATTTCTGATTAATAAATATCCCAACACACTCCTAGCTATATGGGCAGTGCAGAATAGGACCTTGAATGAATGAAGCTTTACAAAAGATAATTTTTTGAGCTGTCAACTCGAAAGCTTTTGTCACCCAGTGTAATAGAATGTCAGTGCAAAACAAAAAGTGTTTCAGACATTAAAAAAAATGAATTATGGATCCCTGAAACCACTCATTTGCCACAGTTTACCATAATTGCCATAATTTACTTTTGAGATTATTAGTTCGTCATAATATACTTTTGAGATTATTACTTTGTCATAATATACTTTTGAGATTATTAATTTGTTATAATTTACGTTTGGTATTATTAGACAGAGTAAACAGATTAACTTTCGTGCTCTCCAAGGTAGTAATTGTGGTAATAGTTACTAATATTGAGTGAATTGTTAATGAAATACAGGTGTCAGATTTCAGTCGGAAAATGGAGTACAGGTGTCAGTTTCAATGGGAAAATGGTGGGCAAAAGCTTTAGAAATCTGAAGCTGAATAATGCCAGTTACCAAAAATGAGCCCCATTCTCGTAATATATATATATATATATATATATGGTGTTTTTTTTTTTATTCTTACACATTTGTTTAAAAAAATCCGTGAAAGCTACACTAATTCGGTTTGTGCAGGTGGGTTATACGACCAAGCGGACATTATGTGGGCGGCTAATCTTTGCGATAAGTCGGCTAATTAATTAAAATTCGTTAATTAACTTTTTAATTAGTGGAAATAGACATATAGTTTCAATTAGAAACTTGTAAAGCATCATCGAAAACCACTAAATCTTCTGTTTCTGGAAGGGTATAACGCCGGGGAAGCATTTTACGGCGTTCTGTAAAAGCGTTCCATTTGGAAGCGTTTCTAGATTTCGGTTTCTTGTCGGAGCGCATCACCGCGCCCGCGGTCCTGCTCCCCAGTGGCTGAGATGCGCAACAGACGTGCGCCGTACTTCCCTCCATTCTATGAGGGGGGCGAAGACGTGGCTTTGCGCCGCGACCACCGGGGAGCAGGATCGCGGGCGCGTAGATGCGCTCCGATAAGAAACCGAAATCTAGAAACGCATCCCAATGGAGCGTTTTACAGAACGCCGTAAAATGCTGTCCCGGCGTTATATCTTGCTAAAAATAGGTGATTTAGGGGTTTTCGATGATGCTCAGCCAGTTTCTAATTGAAACCATATGTTTATTTTCAATCATTAAAAAGTTAATTAACGAATTTTAATCAATTAACCGACTTATTGCAAAGATTAGCCACCCACATAATGTCCGCCTGGCCGTATAACCCACCTGCACAAACCGCATTAGTGTAGCTTTCACGTTTTTTTTTTAACAAATGTGTAAGAATAAAAAAACACAATGTATATATATATATATATATATATATATATATTTTTTTTTTTTAATTTTTTTTTTTTTTTGAAGATCAATGATAACCTATAAATGAGATAAGTTAGGTCTGAAACGTTGGCGTCTGGTTTCGGACCGCTGACGCTACATTTGTGGAGAACGCTGTACTTAAAGGGGCCATGTAACGACATTGCGTAGAATGTTTCTCGCTCTCCACAAGCTTACTGGCACCAGTGGGACCCGAAATAATCGCACGCAATGCCACTGACCAAGAAGCTTCTTTTTCGCATCATAATTTTAAGAATAAAAGCGAATACCTCTTTTCATTCTCTCCTTTGCAAAACGTGATGACAAAGTTGGGATAGTGTTGTCATCATAGTCAGCAATATCAA